TTAAGTTAAGTTGATAACCATTGATTCCTTGAACCAAAAAGCTTGAGTAAAATCCAAAAAAAAAAAATAGTTATGATGACTTTTGGGAGCTTTTGCAGACTTTAATTTGACATAAGAACTCTGAGCTATAGAGATTTTTCTGATTTCGCTCAGTATATAATTGTGGGATATCAGCAATATATGTCCCAAGTTTCTGTTTGTACTGTCATTTTCAAAAATAGTTTCAAATAACTTTTCCTTAACATGGTTACAAGCAATGGTGTATTAAACAAAGTGGGATTGAATTTCACATTGCTCTCATAAAGTCAAATTGAAAAAAAACTTTTTTACGAATTTCGAATCGTTTGTTTATATTTCTGACATTATAGGACCTTAAAAGAGGGCCGCACTGAATTGTAAATCACACTTTGTTTAATACCCTTTGATTACAAGCAAATGTTGCTTAAATTCTGCAAAATGAAATCGGAAAAATCTTTGTAGCTTATAGAATTTTTTTGTACAATTAAGGTCTAGAATAGCCATATTTATACATAGTTTGGTTGAGGTGAAGCACTAGTTATAAGTTTAATACAAGTATAACTTATAATTCACTGTAAGTATTTTTTCTGACTTTTCTTAAGCTTTTTGGTTCGCGGAGTCAATGGTTATCAACTTAACTTAAATTTCCTGTGCATAGAACATTGCAATAATTTGTAAGTCTCTAAGCCAGATCGGAATATTTTTTAGCTTGAAAGGATGCAGAATCTTTATCTCTTCTGTGTAGCCCTTTTGTCTGCAGAATGAAGCTGCCTCCTCTCAGAACGGATCGAGGATTTTCGTTGTTAAAGGTCTCCACATTTTAGTATGGATTATAAATTGTAGAGCTAGTTTTGAAAAAAGAAAAATACGAAAAAATTTTAAACAATATAAACCATTTCTCCTAAAAAATGTGAATAATGCTCCTAACTAAGATCTTTGAAAAACTTTAAACATATGTGTCAGATTTTTACTGTGTGTAAAGTCATGTTGTGCGGTATGGCAATTTCAGGTTACTAATCAGTACACACCTTTTCCACGTTCCAAAAGCTTTACTCTGTTCCCATACTTGTTATTTTTTCGTTTTTAAGCTTGGTGGGATTTCCAGCTTCGCCATTAAACTCCCTAAGCCATTGCCGGCAATGCCCTAAAGTCTTAGATTCGTTTTAGGATCTTGATCAAAAAAATGGGGTTCTCTGTTTTTAAGCCACTTATATCTAATACATACAAATGCAAACACAGCAATCGGATTAAAAAACAAAAGAACGTTCATAAAATCTCGCCATAAATTAGAATAAGAAGCTTGTCTTATAAGTATGCCACCAGCAAGTGTTATACGGTTATTACTGCTATTAGTGCTATTACTGCTATTAAAGATTTATTCCCAAATCACGTAATGATTACTCATTGTGCGATTAACAAAAAGTGAATGAATTTCTCGTAAATATAAACACTATAATTTTCGAATTGGAAGAAACGCTTTGATAATACAGTTAATACAGATATTTTTTTAATATAATTAACAAGCTAATTTTCAACACGTGGCAAATATTGTTACTAGTACTTTTGAAAAGAAAAGGTAATACATATGTACATATTTATGTACATGGATTTTATATAATTGAAGCACAATTGGCAGAAACCCCAAACAAAATAGCAATAACAAAAGCTACGAATTCACATAAATCACATAGAATATATCTACATATGTAACGCTTGCTAATCAATGCTAATACATATGGACAGAATCGAATAATGAGGTATTAGGAAAGGGAGGAAGGATAAAAGAAACCACGTAAATGAAATGAAAGAAATGTTTTTATTTTTATTCGCCCAATGTTTTTGCGCGTTTAGTTTCTTATTTCAATATTTAATTTAAAAAAAAAAACAGAACTCATAAAAAATGATTTAATGTTTTCTTTAAATATGAAGACTTAACTAACAATTTCTTTATAGCTTTTTTAACTGCCCTGTAGTGAAATTTTTTTCTTGGAGGCTTGTACAAACTTAGCCTCGTTTAACTGGGAGGTAAGATCCGCTATTGTGTCTTCCATTGTCTCAATTTTTTCATTAAGAAGGTATAATTCCGTTTTTAAATTACATTGTATGGAATCATTGCTGAAGAAAAAATAGAAAAACGTGTTGGTAAACAAATTCATGTACACACACATACGTATTTATGTATGTATTCAGTGTAAATTTAGGTCCTGAGCATAATTTTGTAAGAAACTATTTATTTCTTGTACACTTACTCAGTTTGCGTCTGCGCATCAACAGATGATATCGCTTCCTCTGAACGTTCGTGCGCTTCATGCATTTCAGGCATCCCAGGGCACGGGTATAAACGCTTTAAAATATTTGCCTGCAATGTTCAAGTAATAATGGGTGATTTTTTTGAGGTTAGGATTTTCATGCATTAGTATTT